TTTTTTTTTTTTTGAGTACCAACCTGCCAGAACCACATTATCTGCTTGCTAGTTCGGGCATAATGTCTATAGATTGTGTTTCTCTGCCAGTCCACCAAGTCTATCTCCTGCATACCGCACAGCATCACCTACAGACAAGAAGGGGACATTTTATAAATAAGCCCAACATTCATGTTAGTATTTATTTTCTCTAATTTTTTAAATCCCTATTGTTACAGAATACCTGTAGTATTTAAAGGACCAGTGCTACCTCAAACACTTGTAAAGGTTATAGAGAATCATCTATTGACTTCAGTACCTCTAATTCTCTAGCATCAAAGTACTGAAGGTATTGCTGTGGAAGAACTTCATTGAAGCCCTCAAAGAAAGCCTGTGTCTGCTCCTCCACACCTCTGGATAGCCTCCACTCTGCCACTAACCTGCATAGAGATGACATAATGAAATATTAATAAATTAATATTAACCCACTTTAGAGATGTCAAGTGCTGCTTAAAAATGAATGTTTTCAAGGAAAACAGGATTATTTAGTTTAAACATGACATGTCCGAATTCAGTGTATTTAAATGTTACGCTTGTTTACCACATTATGTTATGGAGCATGTAAAAGTAACAAATGAATATGGACGGTAGGTAAGAAGTTGTACCTGATGTATTCCTCTTTATTTTCTTCAGTTACTAGAATGTTCCCTCCATCTGGTTTAAGCTCATGTGTGGTGACCTCCCCAAGTATCTCCTTGTCAACGGAGAAGAACATTTCCAGACCGCACTCCTCTATATTATTGTCCCTACAAGCAAGACAATGACAGTTACCGTCATTACTGACAATGTTTAAAAAACAAAAGAAGTTAGCTATTATGTCTGCTCTAAAGGTCACTATAGGGTCCTATACATTTCCACAGTGAGTGACAAATTACGGGAGCATAAATCATTTACTCAAATAATGCACATGACCCAATTTGTCCTCTCAAACTCTTCATTTGTGTGCATAGGTTATCAAAACCTAGTATCTAACAATATGCAAACATATTTAGGAAATGAAAATATTTTTTTTAAAGCAGCCAGAAGTCTATGTATATATCCACAAATTTTGGTCCACTTATAACAACCCAACAAATGTAAAATACATCAAAGTCTTCGACACCATCCACCACAAGTATAACTCAATTATCACATGTACATCAGAAACTTACTTGATCCAGATGAGTGAATTATAGAATTCTGGATCTATGGACTCCAGGTCTTTCAGACCCAGAGGTTTGTTCAGAATACGTTTGTAAAAGGGCAGCGAGAAACCTGTGTCGATAAATTTGCCATGGAACAAGGCCTGGAGAGACATAAAATGGAAATGTTTTGTATGCAAATTAAAAAACAACAACAGATAAACAGAAGACATTTATCTCATATTTGAGATTTGTAATTTTATGGGAGAAAGTCAAACATATTATTCTGTAAGGCAGAATATGAGAATAGGTATATTTCTCTTTTGAAATTTAATTCAATGATTAGATTTGAGATCTAATCATTGTGATTAAATTGCAATAAAAGACAAAAGCATAAAATATTGCTATACTTTTGCTTTTTCAATAGGAAGAGGGCCAAAACAATGGTGTGCTTGGTTTCAACGTAACTCACGAAATAATAAAGTTACGTTGAAACCAAGAACACCATTGTTTTTCTTGTGACATTACCAATAAGTCTGATGTGTCACATGGCCCTCTTCCTATTGGAAAAACAAAACTTGTATCCAAGATGACCGACTTCTACATAGCCACCATGGTCACCACCCATCTTGAGGAGTTTGCCCCCTCACATATACTAATGTGCCACAAACAGGACTTTAATATCACCAACCATTCCCATGTTATTACGGTGTATCCATATAAATGGCCCACCCTGTAGTATGGCATAATAATATGGTAGGATATAGCAATGGCAGACCAGATTAATCATGCACATACATTTAGTTTCAAAACTAATGATTTAAACTTATTAGTAACAACTGAGAGATGGTGCGCATACCATGGCAATAAATCGCCCAATGAACTTGAAGTACTTAAGGTGATCCGGGTTGATGTAAGAGGCAGGGTTGATCTGAAGACAATAGTTGTCCTTGCCAGCATACTCAAACAAACAGTACATTGGATTCAGCACCTCATGAGACAGCAAGAAGAACCATTCCCTGAAAATAAGCACAAGTGGTCAAACTAGTTGAGTGGGGTAGTTCTTTTTAAACTAGATTTTAATGACAAAATCACGAGTTTTTACTGTTTGTGTTGTTATTTTAGCAACAGGGTGGTGCAGCTTTTACTTTGAGATTACCTGGCCACACCTCCATAGTCCAAGCCTTCCTCACCAGGGAAAATTATCCAAAGTCTACGCCTAAGATCTTGTGGGTGGAAACTCATGATCTAAGAATGAATTAATTACACATCTCAAGCACTGAAAAGACAATGTTATTAAATATAGAAATGTGGTGAGAAGACAGTACAACCAATTAAAACAATTACCTGTTGAAATGAATCCTCAAACAAAGTTTTGCGTGAAACTGTAATTTTAATGTGCTGAGGCATCGACAGTTGCTAAGAGGAAACAAAACATGTAAACAATGAAAATAATTGATTTTAAAAACTGTCCACTAGCAAAATCATTTACACTTTACCCTACGCTGTGTTCACTGCATCATTCCATGTTTGGCACTGATCACCACCTGCACTCATGTATATATCATGTATATATCTATCCACTTAGCACTTTTAATTCTTATTCTTATTTTATATTTTTATGACAGTATGTTTGCACTGAAGCACCGCAGCAATTTCCTAATGTTGTAAACCTGCTCAACATTTGGCAATAAAACCCTTTCTGATTCTGATTCTGATCCTGATTCTTTGCATTTACGTAATTAAAAATAAGAAGAACATAACAGCATATGTAGTAAAACAGTATGATATGCTGAAAGCACGTACCTGACACCAGAATCTGAAGTATTGCACTTTGGCTTTGAAGTCCCTGACATAAGTTATCTGTGGCCCATTCTCACTACAAAAAAGACCACATTAAATTATTGTCAAATAAAAGTATCAAAATACATTTTGATAACAAGTGCTTATATTCATCTCTGGACATTCTGAGCATCCTGTTTGTTTTCTTTAGCAACACCCAGGCTTTGTGGTCATGATCACTTGAGATTATAAGGCTCATTTGATTTTACACCAATCGCTGATTTAAATATATTCAGGCGTGCACTAATCAATATTCTCGACATTTGCAATTTAGTGTGGAAAGAGTTAGATAAGCAAACATATACACATTTTGTAATATTAATGAGACACACCTGTCCCATTTAAATTGAACTCTGTTCATTTCCCCCCCTCCCTTTCATGATGCTTGTTCATGCAAATGTAAGCACTGTAACACACCCAGGTACGGACCAGAACAACAGAACAGAGACCATTGGAGTAGGTCTCAGTCAAACTCCCGAGTTGTTTGCTTATGTTGAGAATGACCTCAATTATAATTATAAATACATATATAAAAACAACCAAAGACTTTTTTGATTCACAGGCTACAGAAGCTTTTAACGTGCAGTTGTGTCTGTCTCCATTAAATGAATCTGATCCCCCTCGTGTTAGCACAAGATACCAAAACTTACAGTGAGGATTTCCCTGTGCGAGGGTCAATGTAGGTTGTTGTTCGCCTATTGTGATCTACAAAGTAGGGAATACCATCCACAGTGAACCTCATCTCCCAACCCTCAGGCAGAGGCTTGTCATTCAGCAGCCTGGATAAAGTTAAGTAAGCACAGAGAAATGCAACCATTTAAAGAAATCATTTTAAAAGAAACATAAAATGTATATTTTAAGTTAAATGAATAAAAAATAATAAATGGAATCAAAGATTTAAAAACTCGTCCTTAAAAGCAGGGTTTCCTCCGTACTACTTAACTGTGATTAGCTGGTTACAAAAAAAGCATTTAGACAGAAACCCTTCTCTTTGTGTATCCATAAACCATAAATTTAAGAGCAGTTAGTGGTCAACAGCAAAGATTTTCTGAAGGAACTATCCAATTCCAAATCTGTCAAAGATGTCAGAATCCAGTCATTATGTTCTACACATTTAATCCAGTTTCACAGTTGCCAGATCATCTGCATGCAATTTCTGTGCCACTGTTGACCTGTTCCAAACTCCAAGCTCCTAAGAGGTTAGGACAGTTTTTCAGGGAGTCCTGCAATGGAACGAATTAACCTTCTACATCAAACTGATGGCTGAAATACAGACCTAAAATGTGTCACTCAGAAATTTGGGCCTGCCAAAAACAAAGTGACATTCCTTTCACTTGTCACTTTATTCTAGACATATCAGCGCTCCCTACTGTCAAGAACACAAAATACACTCACCCTTGGGTCCTTGGGTCTTCCCACTGTGTCCTGCGAGTTGGGTGATGGACAAAATACACTCTACCATTGGTGTCAGTTCTCTTTTCTTGTGAAGGAGAAAATCAACACATTTCATTTATTTATCATGTCAGTAACATCAGCTAAAACATTTTTGTAATCTCACTGATACTTACCCCATCCTTGAGGCAGAGGTCCTAGTGGGTCAAACTCTTTACTGGCTGTGGCTGCAAACTGGTCTTGCAGCTGAGCCAGAAAGAAAACGTTACAAATGTCAAGTCTGCAAAAACATCTGTAAAAACTATTTTTGTCACGGTCTGTTTAAACACAGTTTAGACTTAAAATCAGAGAAGAAACTGACCCAAGAGCATTTGTATGTTTATTTCCATCGGGTGCTTAAAGCTTTTTAGTCACGAGACTTAAAACATGCTATCTGGACTTTACAAACTCATACAACCTTACTTAAGCTCCTTTCACACTCGAGAGCTACATCAGACCTCAAAGTCTGCACTGTATATAAAGAGAAAGATGTTCCAAAATGTTTCCAAGACACAATTATTGCAATATATTGTTCAGCATGAAATATGCAAATTACACAGTAGAAGTGGAAAGCTGAAACCTTAAGTGCTTATTCATTAGACTGCAGGTGTTTAGTACTTAAAAGTTAAAGTTATCTTTTTTATTTATAAATTTGAATTTAAGACGTAGAAGGACTGAGCAGTATAATTTTTGTATGATGTGGTAAAAGTACAGCATATACAAATGATTTTATAGATCAAAAACCATGCGTAGATGGGCTCTTTAAGCAAATCAAAAGAAATACATCTTCAAACTGTTCTTCATGTGTAGTCTGAAGCACATTCAGTGACTGCTCTCACCCCATATATGAATCTCTGGTTAAATTGCTGCATGGCTCCCTGAAGCTGGCTACGCTGGTGCTGCCATTCCTCGTAGTTACGCACTGACTCCTGTGTGGGTCTTTGCCATGTAGTAGTTCGGGTTATGTGGTCAACATAATAAACTCTACCCATTGGATCCACTCTGCGCTCCCATCTGCATAAAAGGAGAGCAAAAAAAAAAGTTGTTTATTTTGCCAAGGATTTCTTTCTAGATATTAAAAACTCCCACAGAGAACACATAACCACATAGTAAAAGTGATTATAAACAATGTGACATAGATAATTATATGCCACTGAATACACAATATTCAAACTACATTAATATATCTGTAGTATAAAAAAAATCAAGATGTTTGGCACCCTGAAGGCAAAGGCTCAGGCCTATCCCAGGTTGTTCTTTTCTCAATGTGATCCACATAGTATACCCGTCCATTCTGGTCAACTCTTTGCTCCCACCTGCAGAAGAAATACAAATTATAATAAACAGATTGAAAATAAGCTTAAATGAGGGGCCTATAAAACAAAATGCAGAAAGCATTGCTCTTTACCCTGGGGGCAAGGGACCATTGTTTATGGGAGCCACCCTGGGAATTGTTGCTGAGGCACTGGCCCCTTGTTTAGGAACACTTGCTGTCTGTGAGGAACTTGATGTTGCCGCCCTTGCATTTGATTCATTCTGCTGATCTGAACACCCACTAGCTGATGCCTGAGAGGAACCATCGGAAGCTGGGCCTTCGCTGAGTTCACTAGGAGAAGAACTGCTAGAAGAGGCTATGAAATGAACAAGAACAAGAGTAGGGAACCTTTAAGTCTGTGAAACAAAAATGTTCTTTCTATTTTCAAAGGTGTATTTGTTTTCAAAAGCGTAGTGACTTTAATACTGACTGAAGTCAGTATTCAGTGCTTTAGCTAGTATATAAAAGAATAATGGTATATTAGACATGAGGGAGATTGAAATCACTCATGTGATGTATATGTAAGCCATTTAATCTTTGATGTCTTATAGTTTTCCTACATGGTGAAGCTGCTGGTTTCTGTCGCATAGGAGGGGGCGGTCGAGTAGGTCCAGAAGGAAGTGATGCAGTGGAGCCCCCTGGAGACCGTGAGGGAGAACTTGTACCATTGACAGCATGCACATTTGGTACAATGACCCATTCATCCGAGTCACTTGAAGGTGATGAGCCTCCGCTTGACCTACAAGTACAAAATACTTAATATTTGAGTAGTTTTCCAAGACCAAAGATTTAAAATGTTTATTTAATCTTACAAAACCAATGTCCAAATATTTTAATGCAATAGTATCTTAAGATCATTAATTAAAGATTTACTAGACCTGTCACCAGTATCTCCATTTTGCCGCGTATTTCCATTTGGAAGAGCAGCTAGCAAGCCATAAAAACAAAAATAAAAAATAAAAATCAAAGTAAAAGACAAATGTTTAATGTGACATTCAAAAATGTATGTGTAACTCCCAAGTTCTCAAATGCTTGGGTGCAAATGTAGTCACTAATGCAGGTAGATATAAAGGTTACAAGTCATTACTTGTAACCTTTATATCTACCTGCATTAGTGACTACTACTAGTGACTACTACTGTCTTGTCAGGGCACAGAACACTGATAAGCATTTACAACCTGGCAGCAGTTTCCACCTTGCTATCAAATTCATTAATAATGACCAACATGGTAACAAGCTAAATTTATTCTGCAATTCTATTCATTTTCAAATTACAGATTATGAGCATTCCTGTTCTAAAATTGCAAATGTGTCCCACATAGTATACTGGGTTTGTGTGAGCGTGGTCTCTCACCTTGTTCTCTCTCTGCCAAGCCAAAGGTTTCTGGGTCTACCTGCATGCCATCCAGACAGACTGACAAGTCACCTACAAGATCCTGGGGGTCTCTGTCAGAGCACAGCTGCAGTGTCTGCACGACCTCACATACTTAAGGGGGACAGAATACATGTCAAGTTTTAAGCAGGCAATATAATTACAAGACAAGAGAACACATATGATACCATAACACAAAAGAATAAAAGCAATTATTAACGATGTCCTGGTTTAATTAAAAACTGCTCCTACAAGCACATTTTTCTCCTAGTAACATTTATTACTAAAATAAACAAATACTGAAGAACAATTTCCTACTCAGTCGGTCTCAGATTGTTATTAATCACCTGATTTTTAAAGCAGCGTTTCCTTTTTTAGCCCAAACTGTGACAGTGTGAAAAGAGCAGAACTGAAAAACTCCAGTCACATGGAATGCCTCAAAAACCATGTGCAACAAGAATCTCATTCAGTGCTTTAAAAATCACAGACAAGTAGCTCTTACAGAGAATGTAGACCAGACTGTAATGTCACTGTAATGCTATGCACACTGACCAGGTCTGAGGAGGCATTGTATTTAGTTACTTCAAACACAGAAAAGCTCATATGTATAGGTGATGCAGTGTACAGCATCTACAGAATGTGCATCAATTACCAAATATGACATGCAATTGTGAGACATAGACAAAGAAAATGAAGTCAGAAAGTGAGTTCAAAAGTGATCCAATTTGTTATTATCATGAAATCATGAAGTCATGTAGTAACAGCTTTGTCTTTATACAATTTACGATTTTGTACAGCTCAACTCCAAGAACCTAGAAATATTATCTGTATACTCATTTCCTCAGAACATCTTTCCGTATCCAAGGTTAATATAGAAAATAGCAGCATAAACAAACTCTCAAGTATCCTTGTGCTACAACATTTTCACAACTGTCTCATGCATGGCTGTAGCTCAGGAGGTACAGCTCCTATTGATGAGAAGGTCAGTTGTTCAATTCCTCCAGTCTGCATTTCAAATTATCCTATAGTACTGAACCCTGTGTTGCACTCATCAGCGTGTTATAATGAGTGTGACAAAAGCACTAGGGATAGAAAAAAGTGCCTGTATAAACATGTGAATGAAAGTGTTTTGAGTGCTCAAATAAAGTAGAAAAGTGCTACATAACTTCCAGTCCATTTACCATATCATGCCAATAGTGGGGGGAAAAAAAAATCACCACTTAGGAAAATGAACTTACATTTCATGTCATTGGCCTTAAGGGTCTTGCTGATTTCCAATGTAGCTAGACCCAATAGAATGTCTGACTTGAGTGTCTGATGGCTCCAAACACGAAATATCAGTTTGCTGAACGGCGTCACAATTCTGTAGAAAGGTGAGAAATTTTCAGCATACAGCACCAACCAATACGATACAACAGCAGAGAAATAATTGAGGGAATCTGTACAGCTTCTTAGCTTTTGTTTGAAACTCATCAAGCATTGATGCTTTTTGTTTTGTTTTTCCCACCTCCAAGTACAGAGGAAATCCAATTAATAAGTCTATGATGATTTTAATCCTCCATTATATCTTACATTACATTTACTGTCTACAATTGCAACATTCTGCTAAAATATGGACCTAAACAAATTTTCGCAGTTGTACTCACACTGTGAGAGCCTGCTTCCATTTAGGGCTGTGTGTGTTGTTGCATTTCTCAGTCCTCTTTGACTGGCCATCCACTGCTATTTCAACATATGGACTTGGACCAAACCAGGTCTTTTTGTTTTCCTTCAGCTTAGCTGAAAGCACTGGAAAAATAGAAATTCTAGTCATGGAAAACCAAGATTTTAAAACCACTTCCTGTAGCCCCATGCATCCTGAGCTCAACAGCAGTCAGTTTATTTACAACCAGCTTTAAGGTATTTTTTTTAAGATCAAGGGATTCATCAAAATCTAGGTTTCCATGACAGATGTTAAGCATATTAATAATGATAAAAGAAAACACCATTAAGAATTTATCACAGTCCTCTACTGGTTTTTGTTAAATGATGAGCATACAAATTTTGCAAAAACAATAACTTACCAGTAACTTGCAACTGGGCCTTCATGGTTCATCCATAACATTAGAGCCTAAGTGGCAACAACAAATGAACCTCCAATCAATGTTATCACATATAACTTAATACTTAAAGAGTGAAAAATATAACCTCATTTATAGTCAACTGTGAGTAAGCAATCTAAATAAAACAAAGAGATACTTGAGACAGATTCTGGTATCTGGGATAATTTTTTGTTGACTCAAAGATAACATGTTATCTCAATTATCACTCTGGTTAAATATTTAAATTGACTGTGGTTTACAATACACACACAAAAAAAATGAGCTATACCCTCACTAGCTTCGCAGCACACAGGCCCAGGGAAATCATTCATAACTGCTGTCCAAATCTGTCACTCATCTGGTAGAGCTTGTAAATCAGCAAACCGCATTGCTATGTGTGCTAGACAGTCAATTTTAGTAATCAAAACAGAGCCTGAACTAAATAATGGTTGGTCAGTATAAAAAAAAAAAATCTATTGGCATACATACTGTTCAATGTTGAGGTTTGAGATATTGGTACTGAGAAACTGAGGTTGTATGGAGTAAAATGATTTCTGCTTGTTAGTTTGTGAGGTTTTATATATATAAACAGAAGGGAAACGAGACGGAGGATATCAGTCAGTAAACTGATATCTGATCTCGTTGCGCATTAGGCTCAATTTTCTCACAGGTTAGCAGTAATGTTAGCCAACAGAAGATTAGTTATTAAGACAGCGTTAAACACTAGACTCTAGTAGAGTTTCCGTTTAAGCTGTCACATCACCATTACTAGCCAGCTTGTAAACTGTTTCATAACTGTAACGAAGGCGGACAAGTTCAAGAACCTGGAACTTTGCACACCGATATCCTGATCAAGGCTTTAGCTAACCATGCATTAAACCCACGCTCGAAATGCTAACACCACTTTCACTCATTCGACTATTTAGAGGAGGAATAATCAAAGCTGTTCCTTGGAAGAACTCTAAGTGACCATACCTGATTAAAGAAGAGGATAAAGAGTGACAAAAACTTTAGTTTCAGCTATGTCTGAATGATGACAGGTAAGATAACAACATCAGCTCAGACCAGTGATCCGCTAGCTTGAACAAGTCCAGGTTTTCCGGTACAAGTTTTTCATAATAAAGCATTGGAGAAAAAGGCTTATTATCTATATAATCTGATTATCTATATAAGTTATAAGCAACATTAGGCGTCAGACCATGTTAATTTTTATTATAACGTAATACACAATCAAAAACAAAAAGACAAAAATAAAACAGCACGATGCACCAGACTATATTTGTCTTGGTATTTTTCCCCCAGCTTGCTGCTATTATAAGTCTGGACTAGAGTAGTTTTGTCATTTGATTTCTGTCTGCAGTATTAGTAAATGTAGCCTATAGGCAAGCTTTTATTTTGAAGGGATGTTGAAGCTGCTGACATAAAAAAAAGATAAAACAATCGTATAATTTAACAAGATACAAGATACGTTTATGTTCCTTTAAATTTTACATTGTTTGGCAGTACATACTAAAATATATGGTTTTATTTATGAAATTATTCAGACATTTACTCGATGGCCAAAGTGTGGACACGCCCACGTGTGACATCCGTCTTTTTAGTCCCGTGACACGGCTGTAATTGTTAGCAGTCAGCAAGAAACGCCGCGGTGTGGTAAATGATATGTTATTTGTTCTATGAGCAGTCACGTTCGCCATTAATATAACGTCTGCTGAAGCACGATGTTATCTCGTCTATTGAAGGAGCACCAGGCAAAGCAAAATGAGCGGAAGGAGCTGCAGGGTGTGTGATAACAAAAATCGATAGTGATAGCCGCCAGTGCTAACCATTGCTAAAAACAAAGCTCTCTTTGACTTAGGATGTCCCAGCACCACACAGTGCTACAAGTCCGGTGTTGATTGATTGTAGTAATGTCTTTTTTCTGTCACAGAGAAACGCAGACGTGAAGCAATTGCTGCAGCCACTTGTTTGACAGAAGCCCTGGTAGACCACCTCAACGTTGGGTATGACGGTGATTCCTTTCTTTTTTCTTTTTGCTTATTTCTTGCTGTTCATTTTGGTTTGGTAGTATTTAAGGAATGCTCAGTCATCCAGGTAAGTAAATCTCCAAAAGTTGATTCTGTTGATCTGGACGTAGCGTTTTTAGTGGGAGTAACGTTTCGCCACTCTTCCAAGTGACTTCTTCAGTCTCAGTTTACTGCAGGTTTCCCCAATCGTATAAACAGTACATTTGCATAATGATCGAAACTAACACCACTGAAGGAACAATGCGCTGGGAGGTCAGTTCCATTGATCAACAACCACTGATCAAAGCCCATTGATCAATGGCCATGAGTACCATTCACAGAGAGTTGGGGAATGGCTGCAATCACAGCACTGTAAGATGCCAAGAGATGTACCCTTAGACCCCCTTCTCGATTCAGAGATGGCCTTTGCCTTTTCACGTAAATGGCCTCCTTGACTACGCGCTCAAACCAGCGTTCCTCCCTGTCCAGGATGTGTACATCCTCATCATTGACACTACAGGCCACTAGACTGTAGTGTCTAGTAAATAGACTGCGGAGGTAGCTTTTCTGTGTTGTGCCATCCGCTTCGCCTGAGGTTGTTTGGTTTCCCCGATGTATAAGTCCTGGCAATCCTCCTGGCACTTAACAGCGTACACTATGTTACTCTTGTTTGCGTCGGGGGACCTGATCCTTGGGGTGGACCAATTTTTGTCACATCGTGTTTTGGGGTTTAAAAGCCACAGGAGACACGGTGTTTAGCAAAAATGTGTCTTGATACTCCTGAAACATACAGAATCCCTACAGGTTTTTGCTTAGGCCAAAACGCGCTGCGCCAAAAATTGGTCCACCCCCAGGATCGGGTCCAAAACTCATCCAGGTTTCGTCACTTGGATGAGTGACAAAACGTTTCTCCCCCTGAAAATGCTACGTTCAGATGAACAGAATCAACCTTTGGAGGTCCCACAGAAAGGTACATTTCACGCAATCTCTCTGGAATATTGGACATCTGTGTCCTGCACCAATTGTATTATTTACTTTTAAGTGTTGCTCTGAAAGCTGTACTTGTTTCAGCACCAGTAATTATTGATTTTCTTTTTTACATTGCAAGTTTAGTCAATGGAAAGTAAGCAAGTTGTGAAAAATCTCTGAGCCCAATATTAACTTTCCACATGTTGTGTTGTTTACAACCAGTATTCAAAATCTAAAGATATTTAATGTAAAATGACAATAAAGTTAGAGAATATGTTACATTAAATATTTTTTTGCTTATTTAAAGTCAAGTGTAAACAATTTTAAAAGTATCTTGATTTTAGTGTGATGTTAATAGCTAGTAATTATTTATTATTTGTATCCCACTAATTAATAATAATTTTTCGACTGATTACTTCGTATATGGTATGTCAGTGCCAGGCTGACAAAAGGCTGTCACACACATCAGATTTTAGTCATACTGTTTCTCCAGGCTTTCACATTACTGACACCTTCTTCGGACCAAATTAATCAAACAGTTTATTCTTAACAGGATGGACATCGCCTAATATTTAACACAGCCAAAAACAGTATGCTGAAATTATTAACAATGTATTGTGAAAGATGTGATGAAACCAGGACAATCAGCTTAAGAGACTCAGAGTGGGATGCAAAGACCATTATTGTTGTGCTGCTCCTGCATGAAAAAGATTAGCCACCAGACCAAAATCCTTCTGGGACAAAGAGAGATTTTTACTATATTGAGTAACAGTGTATGGTTTCAGT